CTTTCTCAAAAAGTTGCAAATAGAAATACCATTTGACCCAGCAATTCCACTACTGGGAATATACCCTAAAGAGACCATAAACGACATCCAAGTAGATATATGCACACACATGGTTATTGAGGCTTTGTTCACAATAGCAAAGAGTTGGAAACAACCCAAGTGCCCATCAACAAACAATGGATAGAGAGGCTGTGGAATATTCACACAATGGAATACTACACAGCATTGAAAAACAAGGCACTCATGCAATATTATTCAAAATGGGTGACCCTGGAGGACATTATGCCGAGTGAAGTATCTCAGTCACAGAAGGACAAATACTGCATGGTGCCACTGTTGAAGAATGTCCTCTCTTAACAACATATCCAAAGTATGGGAGAGGAAGTATCATCTTTGCCTCCAAGGAGCACTCTGGCTGCACCTTCTCCAAGATATAGCTGGCTGCTTGTTTTGTGTTGTGTTGGGGTTTGTTTGGTTTTTTTTTTCCTCTCAGCCCTCTTCTACAACAGGACAGTTTAAAGGCATCCATCCATTCTTCTGTACATTCACTGTCCAGCTCTCTGATGTTTAGCAAGTGATTGGAAATATGATTGCCTGAATCAGACGCACCTTAGTCCTCAATCTGACATCCTTGCTACTTAATAATTCAGAGAAGCCCCTGACTTCACCATTTTCCAGTGCACGATGAAAATTTACAATAATTTACCTCCGGCAATCACATTCAGAAAGGGTTATTCGTAGGAGAAATATTAATTGGGGAATGGAGCGCATGGAACCTTGGAAAGTGGAAATTTGTCAAGTGCAAGGAGTTTATATCCAGACGTGAAAATCAATCCAGTAATTCCCTTAAGATGATGGCCTATTAGATAGTTTATTCTATCTGAGTAAAATCCTTATCATAAATATTTTAAAAGGCTTTTGACCTTTGGCCTCTCATGCAGGGAAGGGGCTCTCTCCACAGCCCTGACCGTATAGACCTTAAAAAAAAGGCAGATGTTCCTTTTGAAAAAAGTGCTTTATGTTGCGGACATACGTGGAGTCAGAAAGAAAAGCTTGCTCTTGGGTAGTGTGTGCGTGGTTCATTAAGGAAGAATCCAGAATGTTCCATGATGTCAATCCGAGCCCGGAACGGAAGAACGCCGTCGCCGCATGTCCCCACCCGGAAGGCGTCCGCTGCGGCGCCGAGCGGCCCAGGCCGGAAGCGGAAGTGCGCGTGCCGTGGCTCGCCGCCCGCAGCGGGTCAGTCGCCAGCTCGGCCGCCGGGTGGGCAGCGTCGTCCACGGCAGGTGCCCCGCTGGCCGCTGGCCCGGGTCCGAGGACGTCCATCGCGTGCTGTCCTTGCCTCTCCGCCTCCCGGATCCTCCCTCCGGGCTTCGTCCGGCCGCCGCCGCCGCTTCCCGCGAACCACCCCCCATCCCCCAATCCCCGCCCCGGACCGGTCAGCCGCCGCCGCTGCCGCTGCTGGACGTCCAGCCGCCCGGGTGGACCGCGATCGCAGGTTAAATCGTGTGTGTGGGGGGGCGTTAGTTTCCCGGGAATCGAGCGTGCGAGGGGCAGAGGGCGGGTCGCGTGGACGCTGCTGGGCATTTGTCCGGCCGGCGGTCAGCTGTCGCCGGCCCGCAGCTGCCGCCGCTTTGCGTCCCATCTGTTCGCTGCTCCCTTCCTGCGCGCGCGGAAAGGTTGCGGCCTTTTAGGCCCCGAACAAGTCGCTGCGATTTAAAAAGAAAAAAAAATTAGAAAAAAAGATACTTTTTGAAACGTATTAAATAGCATGTGGTTGCATAATGACGGGTTTATTGGCCGGGGTCCAAACAGGTTGGCACCGCGGTGCTCATTGCAAGGGGCCTTTGTTTTCTTCATGGTGGTTCGTTTGTCGGGCCTGGGATTCCACTTGGTTTGGGGTTTTTTTTGTTTTTGCATTTTTTCCCCCTTTTTTATAAATATCACATTTTCTGCCCCCAAAATGCCATTGTTGCTGTTTTCTCTGCTTCCTCCAGGCGAGACCTTTGTTGCAGTCTGCACGCAAGCCAAAAGCATGGTGCAATCGATCCCAACCCTACTTTACTCTTGCCTGCCTGCATTTGGGGTGTTTTTAAAAAAACATTTTTTTTTTTTGCACCAAAAATGGCTTTTTTTGGTGGGTGTAATCCACACAGGCAGCAAACGCTCTTACCCCATTTTCCCTTTTCTATGCCTGGGTTTTAGGGATTTATTATAAACTATCATTTTTTTTGTACCCAAAATGGTATTTTTAGGGTGGTGGCTCTTTTTGGGGGTTGTTTTGGGGTGTGTTTTTTTTTTGTGCTTCCTGCAGGCCAGATTTTTGTTGGATCTTGCATAGGAACAACATGATATGGTGCGTGATTTCTCCCACCCAGCACCTCCCTTCTTGTGTGCCTGACAGGTTCCCCCCCCCCCGCCTTAAAAATCCCATTTTATGTAATCCCAGAGGTGCGTGGTTCAAATCCACCAGATGCTCTGCTGGAGAAGGAGGGGCAGTCTCCTTCTGTACCTGTCAGATTCGATTTGCTGGTACACCCACAACAAAAAAATAATAAAATTTTTTTACAAATCCCATTTTATATACCAAAAAATGATTCTTTTTCTTCTTTTTTTGTTTTCTGGGGGGATTTTGCTTTTTGGGATTTGCGTGTGTGTTTTTTTTTTTTAGTTGACACCTTTTTTTGGAGGCTGCACCCAGTCTCCACAGGATGGTTCACCACTTTTACCCCCAACTCCCGTCTTGCCAGGATCCAGGTATTGAAAACCGATCAGGAGTGGAAACGCAGCGCTGCGAAATTGTAGGGTCGTGATGGGTGCCAGATGGAGCAGGGGGAGAGGCTGTGGCTTGGCTGCCGGTCAGGAATTTAGATCAAGATGGTGGCAGGAACAGTCCCACTCATCTTTATCAAGCGGCTAGAACAGAAGGGAGGTGCCACACTGTCTTCATAGGAAGGGATGTCAGAGATTTAGAGAAGTCAGCTGGCTCATCTAGGTAGGTGCCTGGGCTGCACTGCATGGTCTTTTTTTAAAAAAATAAAATTTTATTAATTTTAATGAACATTTACAGGGATTTTGGGTTTCCTTTCATTCATTGTTGCACTATTTTCTCTACCTTTCTTCCCAGTTCATGCCTCTTTTTTTCTCCCCCCCTTGAAAGTCTGTTTTAATTGTCCAATTGCCACAGTGCTTGTCAAAGCCAGTTCTGATTAATCTCCTTTGTCAGTGTGTCCTTTGCCATTCCCTATCACTCCTCCCTGAGAGAGACTTCACTCTGATTCATAAGGAAAAGGGGATGGCGTATTCTCTTAGCTACTTCCTGCTGAAAAGGGACGCTGTGGGTTTCAGGTGAAGATCTCTCTCACTACTCTAAAGGGCCCCTTTGGTAATAGGAAACATAGACTATTGTGGAAATTGATTTTGGAAGTTAGATGCACACTGCATGGTCTTGAGGGAAGCACAGCTCTCCTGCCAATGAACCATTTTATACACACACACACACACACACACTCATATATAGATATACACACACGTAACATGTGTGTTTATATATTATATATAAATAAATAAAATTTTCTTCTGATTTGCTTACAAAGTTCATATACATTTTTTTTAAATCTTTCCCATTTCCTTGACCCACCCTCCCTCTCTTCTCATCAGATTGTAGGATCCTATGATTAACCAACCCCTCAGTCCTTATCCCCTGTGCAAAGAACAATTTTTTTTGAGGTTGGTGCATATATTTAATAATGGTTGTATTGGCAGTATTTCCTTGCATGCATATGGATATTATATCATTTACAGTGTTGTACTTCAGTATAGCACTTGAAATGGTTATTTTTTGGTATGAATGCACTAGAACCATTCTTCATAAAAGGTTAACACTTGCTTTTTATTTTTAAATTTTATTTTTTTATTTTGTGTGCATGTACCGTCAGATCCGATCGTGACTGGTACATTGTTGTATTCCCGGCAGAGCATCTGGTGGATTCGAACCGTGTGCCTCTGGAATTGTAGTTGCAGCTCCTTGCCACTAGGCCACCAGAGCTCCCCCATCGTGACTGGTACAGGTGGAGATGGTCTGCCCTTCTCCTGCAGAGCATCTGGTGGATTCGAACCATGCACCTCTGGGATTGTAGTTGTAGTTGCAGCTCCTTGCCACTAGGCCACCAGAGCTTCCCTTAAATTTTATTCTTTTATTTTGTGTGCGTGTACCGTCAGATCGGATCTGACTGGTACAGGAGGAGATTGTCCCTCCTTCTCCTGCAGAGCATCTGGTGGATTGGAACTGTACACCTCTGGGATTGCAGTACAGCGTCTTGCCACTAGGCCACCAGAGCTCCCTCTGACAGTTTCTTTGTGAGGCACCAGTGCCTGTTCTCGAGCATAGACCGCTGACTGTCTGGAATATGAAAACAAAGTGTCACCTCCGTACACTGAAATAAATCTTAATGCCACAGATCTTCTATGATCTCGCAGACACAAGATTTCTAAAAAAAAAATCATCCAACGTTTTTAAGTTCTTCATCTCTTTTTTCTTCTCCTTTTAGTTGTTGTGTACCATTGAATAGTATCCAGCTGGCCCAGGAGGAGATTTCACCCTCCTTCTCCATCAGAGCATCTGGTGGATTCAAACTACGTGCCTTTGGGATTACAGCACAGCCTCTTGAAGTTCTTAATCTTTCCTAAGAATTTTTTTTTTAAAAAAAAAGCAAAGTCTAAGAGTCAGGTTGGAAGAAGAGGTTTAGAGGAACTGAAATGCTAGCGGTGTGAAACCCCACTTAGATGGGTCTTGAACACAGGCCACTTGCTTCCTTCTGAAGGGTCACAGGTTAGAAATGAATTTAGAATACTGAGCATTTAGGTAGGGGTCTCTTTTGAGAAATGACTGGAAATTCTGGTGTTGTGGTTGTGTATTATCAGGTTGGAGCCAAATCATTTTCAGAGGCTGTGGATTGCATGGTAGGAAATTATAATCTCTTAGCCCCCCCAAGTGTATATGTCTGTCCTTTTTCTTTTTTTGTAGTCCTTAGGATTGTTGTTATGTGTCAAGTCACCTGCGACTCATAGTGACTCTATGCACAACAGCCCAAAACTCTGCTCTGTCCTGTGCTAATCACACCGTCTCTGATACACCCATCCCGATTACCCCAGTCACTGAATCAATCCACCTCATAGATGGCTTTCCCCTCCTGCTCTGTCCCGCCACCCTCACAAGCATAATGTCCTTCTCCAAGGACTGGTCCCTTCTTGCAACATATGTTTGTCAGACGATGCTTCCCAATTAAGAATTCAATAATTAGTGATTCTTGGCAATCTGGTCTTTTTTCTGATCAGTAACAAAATGTCCCAGATCCAATTCTCTGTAAACCAGAAAATACCACACCCCCATTCATTAGACACTGCCCTACCTCCCATGTGATTATATGTCTTAGATTGTGATTTTGGTTTTTAGGTTGATAACCTGTGGTGGGCCAGAATTCTCTGAAATAGCCTCTTTGGACCCTTGTTGGCTGCCATCCAGTGAGAAGTGACTCCTTGCTGTGGGGTTTTCTGAGGTTCTCAACGGTGTGGGAAGGAGATTTCTCATCCTTCTTGTAGCAAGCAAGGGATTGAAGCATGTACCCTTGGCTTGGTACCGCAGTTCCCTTACCCCCTAGGCCACCAGAACTCTGTCTTTTCTCTCTGTAGCTGCCGTTTCCATATTTTTCTCTGTGCATTTATATTCTCATACCGAGAACTAAATCTCTCTTCTTTACCCACTCTGTCGTTTGATGCTTTTTCTCCCCCTCCATATGTATGTGTGTGTGTATATATATATATATGTATGTATATGTATATGTATGTATTTTTATGATATATAGATAAAATAATAACATCAGATTTTTTTATTTTAATTTTTTAAATTTTATTCTTTTTTGTGCATGTACCGTCAAATCAGATTTGACTGGTACAGGAGGAGATTGTCCCTCCTTCTCTGGCAGAGCACCTGGTGGATTCAAACTGTGTACCTTTGGGAATAACATCAGATTTTTACAAGTGTAATTCCATAGCATTAATGATTTTTCTCCTGGCGTGCAGCCCTTCAGTGTCACTATCCAAGTTTTCCTGTGCCCTTCCGCCCAGCGTGGGTGCCTTTGAGGCCTGAGCTCTGCGTCCTCCTGGCCATCCAATACTGACCCCCTGTTGTTGTGTGGACGCAGCCTGCTGTAGGTCTGCCCCCTCCCTGGTCTCCTTGCAGTACTTGAGCTTTTGTCCCGGCTTTATCTCAACTGTGGGAGTTAGGCTCCAACCACGCACAGTGGCCCGCCAGGGCCATTTCAGTGACTCCCAGGAGGAGATATTGCCCGTGTGTCCCTGGAGAAGCGGCTGGGCCTTCCCGCACCTCTGTGTCGGCTGTCCACCCACTAGATCTCCAGGGCTCCCTTTATTTTACATGCCTTTTTTTCTCTCCAAGGGTTATTCTGTATGTAGCATCTATAACAACTTCAGTTTCTTCTTTTAAAAAAAAAATCAATACTTACCTGGCAGGGGAGATACCATGATCACGAAGGTGGTTTTTCCAGGGCGAGGCTTATCCATTGCACTCCGGATGTGCTGACCCCTGCGATTTCCCCAAATGTGGGAAACTCGACTGCATAATTTGTGGTAGTGGGGGACTGCATTCGTGCTTTCCCCTATAGAAAAAAAAAGAGAAAAAAAAATCAGGGTGGGTTTTTTTTTATTTGACTTATAAAACATTTTATATTGGCTTGGATACACAGTTTGTCCGTGCTATGTACGATGCACGCTCAGTGCATTTCAGACAGTCTTCTGTGCACCTTGTGTTTTCAGATGCTCACACAGGTACATTGTGTTTTAGGAAATAACCATTCGTTTGGACCTATTCTGACCCCATCTTTTCATGTCCCCAGGGGATTTTTTCCTAATTCCTTGACCCCCACTTCCTCCGCTCCTCAGACTCTGTTTTCCTTTTGATTTGTCCTCTCCCTCCTGTCGTCTTCCCCCTCTTTTTATTAATTTCAGTAAACGTTTACAGAGATTTTAGATTTCCATTCATTCATTGTTGCACTTTTCTCCCCACCCACCTCATCCCCACCCCCTCCCTTTTGAGCATTTATACACATCTTCCTGGTTACCCTTCTATGTTGACATTCATGGTCTTGAACACTGAGACCGAGTTAGATGAGTCAACGTCATGCTCTCTAGAGTTTGCCATCTTATCCAGTCTTTTACACAGTTGTTGCTCTTCAGTGCTGCGTAGTATTCCATCGTGTGAACGCCATCATCATTTTCTGAATTGCCATTTGGGCTGTTTCCAAGTTCTGGCTGTTGTGAATAAGGCTGCTAGGAACACAGCTGTAGAAATCCCCATTTGTGTCTCTGTTTTGTATTCTTCAGGGTAAATTCCTAGTAGAAGAGCTGGGTTATATCTGATCTCTGTGTTGAACTTATATATGTATGTAGTATGGAGAGAGAGAGAGAGAGTGTGTGTGTGTGTGTGTGTGTGTGTGTGTTTGGGAGCTCTGGTGGCCAATTGGCAAGAAGCTGCACTGCAATCTTGAAGGTTCATTCAACTTGTAAAAGGGTCAGTTCTTTTGCACCGTGGAGGATGGCCCTGGCCTGGTTGGTCCGTGGTGGTGAGACTGGGCTGGAAGTCTCTTGTTGGAGCCAGTGAGAGACTGGTGCAGGAGCTGGGAGCCTGGTAGATAGAAAGTTGTGCTACCAAGCCAAAGATGGGTGATTTTAATCTACGG